TAATAATAATAATAATAGTAATAATAATAGACACATGCTCAGTGCTGTCTTGGATACAAGGACAAGACCTCTAAGACACAGGTGTCTGTGATCTATTAGAGAAGACAAGGCTGTGTGTGTGAGTGTGGGTGTGTGTGGGGGTGTGTGTGTGTGTGTGTATGTATGTGTATAATATGAAAAATCAAAGCATTGCCAACCACGTAACAGAAACAATTACAGAACTTCAGACCCTGGGGGAAAATAAAGCATTTAATGAGGATTTTAAAAGAAGTATCTTTTAAGAGAGGAAGAAGCATTGTTTCATCTTACCTTTATGACTCACACTGCCCCCTTCCCTGCATCTTGTTCCTGGTGTTCTCTAAGCTCAATATGTTTCTTTCTTCATACTGGAAAAAGGGCGTTCTATAATTGTTCATAACTATGAAGACAATTCTTGCCGCAGGGAAAAGGTCAAAAGAGTGTTGAGTGCCTTTAAGTAGATTTTTGCCTTAAAACAAAAAATGGGAAAGTAGAGTTTACCTATCTTAGGATCAGGTGCTTCATTGATACAGAATAGGTCCTGTTAAACCTTCACTTTAGACCCTGATCACTTCTAACATGTGGGTGAATCTTTGAAATTATAGAGGAATTAGAAGAAATGTCATGAGAACCTTTGTTCATTACTGCAGGGAGGATTGTCTTTTTCTGCTTTGGTTCTGAAATTCCTGACCCTGAGGGCCCTGGAATACGTCCTTATACTTACAGAAATGTATTTGGAGGCATAATTTACTCATGCTTGTGCTTTTACATGTTTCAGGTCTGCAAGTGCGCCTGCAGGTTCAAGCGCTGCCTCTGGCAGTAACAGGAGACTTCAGCAGACGCAAAATCAAGTGGATGAGGTATTGCTCTGAAATGAAGAAAACGTGAATTTTAAGCCAACATGGGAACACTCTGGAAATAGTCCTGTGTAGAAAAAGTATTATTAAAGTGTGAATGTAAAGTAAACTTCAGCCATCATAAATGTAACAAAAATGTGTTCCCTGCTGTTTTGAAAGCCCTTATCTAAGCCTCTGAGAAGTCACATTCTTCTGGTTTCAGGTTTGTTTTCCTGTGGCCAAATCACATACCTAATGTGTAGACTCTTCCTCCCTCAGAACACTCCTCCAAGAATCACTTTATAATGTATATTTTGCCACAGTAAACGAAAAAGCAGAAAAGAAAAAGAACCATTTTATAAAATAAGGTGGTAATGTTTTAAGGATTAGGCCTATAGCTCAGTCAAGCCAGGACCAATCCTTCTGACCAGATTTTTCATCACAATGCTTTTTCCAGTCACCCAGCTTACTAGTTACCCAGCCTGGCAAGTCTGTAGAATTCAGCTCCAGTTGTTGACGGTTGATGTACAAAAGGCAGATGCTGGCAAACTGCTGTAGCCCAGCACACCTGTATTTGTGGAATTCTTGAGTTAGAAGACCCTCAGCATCTTTTGTTCTGCCCTATATATGCAGACCTACAACAGAAGGTTGTTTGAGAAATTCAGACTAGTATTTCCATAGTCTTATTAAAAACCGTCACTGATGAACAAGGATATCTTGGTTTTTCTGCTTTGGCTGCCTTAAAAAGCAGAGTTCAGCTAACGTTTGCTTCAGCTGTTAAATCATATGGTAATATTTTGGTCTGATGGGTCTCTTTTTGAACTTAATTCTGGAATTCTTATATTTTCATACTAAGAGTCCCATTCTAATTCCATCCTCCATGAAACTTCTGTTTACTTACAAAGTCAAATTGGATCCTTTTCTTAACCAAAGGAGTTTTCAGGAGAGTGTTGTTTTTTTTTTTAATTGAGCTGAAATTCACATAACATACAATTAACCATCTTAAAATGTACAAGTCAGTGGTGTTTGGTGTATTCACACTGTTGTACAACTATTACCTCTGTCTGGTTTCAGTTTTTTCACCACCCCTGAGGAACAGCCTCATGCATTCAGTAATCACTCCCCATCGCCCTTTCTCCCATTCCCTGGTAACCTCTAATTGTCTCTGTTTCTGTGGTTTTGCCTTTTCTGTATGTGTCATAGAAAAGGGGTCATACAGTATGTGGGCTTTTGTGTCTGGCTTCTTTCACTTAGCATCATGTGTTCGACGTTCATCTAAGTCGTAGTGTCTGTAAGGACCTCATTCCTTTTTATGGCTGAGTTGTATTCAGTCGCGTATGTATACCTTAACTTGTTTATCCATTCATCTGTACATGGAGTTTTTGAGTTGTTTCCACCCTTTGACTATTATGAATAGTGATGCTGTAAACATTAGCATACAGGCTTCTCTGTGGACATCTGTTTCCGTTTCTCCTGGTTATGCATCTAGGAGTAGAATTGCTGGATCACACGGTAATTCTGTGTTTAACCTTTTGAGGAACTGCCAGACTTTTCCACAGTGGCTGCATCATTTTACATTCTACTCACAATGTCCAAGTTTTTCCACACCCTCACTAACACTGGTTATTTTCCCTTCTTTTTTTTTTTCAGTTATAGCCATCCTAATGAGTATGTATTAGTATCATTGTGGTTTTGATTTGCATTTCCTTAATGACCAATGATGCTGAATATCTTTTTATGTGCTTGTTGGCCATTTGTATATGTTCTTTGTAGAAATGTCTACTTAAGTCCATTGCCCATTTTTTAAATTGAGTGCTCTTCATTTCTTGTGGTGATTGATATGCATTCTTTATATATTCCAGATCTTAAATCCTTGTTGGATATGTGACTTGCAAATATTTTCTTCCATTTTGTGGATTGTCTTTTCACATCCATCGTAATGTCTTTTGATGCAAAAAGGTTTTAATTTTTATGAAATCCAATTTATTTTTTCTCTTGTTGCTCTTTTGGTGTCAAATCCATGGCCAGATCTGAAGTTATAAAGGTTTATTCTTATGTTTACTTCTAAGAGTTTTATACTTTTAGCTCTTATTCTTGGGTCATTGATCCATTTTGAGTTAATTTTTGTATAAGGGGTAAGGTAAGGGTCCAGCCTCGTTCTTTTGCATGTGGTTATCCAGTTGTCCCAGCACCATTTGTTGAAGAGATTATTCTTTCCCCCACAGGATGATCTTGGCAATCTTGCCAAAAATCAGTTGGCTATAGATGTTCAGGTTGGTTTCTGGACTCTCAGTTCTATTCCGTTGGTCTGTGTGTCTGTCCTTAGGCCGGAACCGCACTATTCTGGTTACTGCAGCTTTGTGAAAAGTTTTGAAATTGGAAAGTGTGGCTCCTCCAGTCTTGTTTTCCTTTTTCAATATTGTTTTGGGTATTCCGGGCCCCTTGGAATCCCATATGAATTTGAGTTTTGCCTTTTCCATTTCTACGATGACAAACAAAACAGGCCCTTGGAATTTAGAAAGAGACTATGTTGAATCTGTAGATACACGCGTCATTTTGAGTACTGCCATGCTGGCAGATCCTGACCGTGCTGAGCCTTTCAGTGTATGCGCTTGAGATGTCTTCCCATTCTGTTGGTCTTTAACTCCTTTCAGCAGGGATTTGTAGTTGTCGTTGTGCAAGTCTCTGGCCTCCTTGGTTTACTTTGTTCCTGGGTGTTTTATTCTTTCGGATGCTACTGTGTGGAATTCTTTTCTTCATTTCCGTTTCACTGCTAGTGTGTGGAAACACACTGACTTACGGGTGCTGATCTTGTACCTTAAAACTACTGAGTTTGTTTGCGAACTCTAGTAGGATTTTTTGATGGATTCTTTGGGATTTTCTGTATATGGAATCATCTGCAAACAGAGATCATTTTACTTCTTTTCCAATTTGGATGCCTTTTATTGCTTTTTCTTACCTAATTCCTCTGGCAGAACTTCAAGTGCAGTGTTGCACAGCAGTAGTGAAGGCGGGCCTCCTTGTCTTTTATCACTGAGCATGGATGTTAGTCATGGGTTTTTCCATAGATGTCCTTCAGCATGTTAAGGATGTTCCCATCTATTCCTAGTTTGCTGACTGTTTTTATCATGAAAGGGTGAGTTTTTTTTTTTTAATGAAGGCTTGGCTCAAAGTAGTAAAGTGCTAACCTGAAAAAAAAATGTGCCAGTATTTCATTGGGAAGTTTTGTTCTTTTGTTCCTTTGTGTGTAACTTAGTATGATCACATTCATCAGGTGGTGGACATCATGAGAGTCAACGTGGATAAGGTGCTGGAGAGAGATCAGAAGCTCTCTGAGTTGGACGACCGTGCAGACGCACTGCAGGCTGGAGCCTCCCAATTTGAAACGAGTGCTGCCAAGTTGAAGAGAAAATACTGGTGGAGGAATTGCAAGGTAATGCTCTTTTAACCATCTTTACAGGAGGTCACCCTCTGTATTCTCAGCAGACAGACAAAGGCTGCAAATATTGGACTTTCATGAATCTTGGAGGTGAGTTTAACTTCCCACCCATGGGAATTTGGATTGACTGAATCCAGTACCCTACTGCATACCCTTTTCCTGTCTCCACAACCAGAAATTCTCCATGTTCTGTGGCTGACCTTAAGAAGCGTGTAGAGCAGGAGTGTCCAAAATCGATCACGGTCCCTTCCAGCCCTCCAGAGTCCTGAACACAGACTGACAGGCGGGGGCTGAAACTGGTAGTCGGTTTGCATGTGGCTGTGAATGGCTCCAGCAGCCAAGGAAAGAGCCACTGGAAAGCCACAGTGTGCTCCATAGAGAGCAGGAAGCAGCCGCAGGAGCACGGCCCAAGGCAGATGTCTGTAGCTCCCAGAGAGAAGTGCTGCCTTCAGATCCCAGCTGCGTCCCGCCCCTTCCTGGGCTGGAAGTGGCACTTTCTCGTATGTGGGACAGGCTGAGTAGCCCCTCCTTATGTGGAAAATGTGTATACAAAGACACATGCCTTTCTAGAGACCACAGGTCATTTGTACATGTTTGAAAAAGCAGATAAGTAATCTTCAGGCCCTCACTGAGAACATTAAATTTAGGCTTTAAAAATTACGAGTATTTCAGTTTGTAGTGCACCTTAATTTCTCTCTCTGTGACTAGAATGGTATTATGTGATGCTCTTCAGCAAGCGCGTTAATCTCTGTTTCTGAGGTGTGAGGTGGGGCTCTGTGTCATTGCAGATGTGGGCCATAGGGATTGCCATCGTGGTCATCATCGTCATCATCATCATCGGTGAGTCCTCCTGCTCCACACTCACGGGAAGGTCTTCTCTGTCCGCTCGCACTTGATTTCATACACAAGAACGCAGAAAAAAAATTCCCTCAGAGGTGTTAGTTTATGCCAAACATTTTTGTTTTAGTATTTTAAATACGTGGGTATTGTATGAATAAAGTATAAGATTTTTGGTGTAAACATTAATCCTTTGAAATGAGAGAAACTTTATTCATTTCCACTGACCTGTAAGTTTTCTCTCAATATATTTTCATCAGATACTTCCTTTTATGAGAAATCGTATAGTCTAGTGATTAAAAGTGGACCACCTGTGATCCACCCAGCTCCGCCATCCAGCTGTGTGGCTCTGGGCAAGTCATTTAACACCGCTGAACCTCAGTCTCCCCATTTATGAAATGGGGGTAATAACAATACCTACCTCCTGTGTTTGTTACGAGGACAAAACTGGTTAATGTATAAAAAGTGTTTAGGATGGTGCCTGGCATTTTATAATAATCATGACATGAATAAGTATGTGTGCACACACAACTATTGTTACTGTCATTACTATCTTAGCATCTATGTGTATATTATTATGTGTAACCCTGGAATGACCCAGTGCCATTTTTAGCCCAGTACGTGAATATTTGAAGAAACACGTCTTGGATCCTCTTTTCCGATAGCCCCCTGTAGCCATCCACAAAACGTAGAGAAGCCGCTAATAGGGAATTGGCCAGAAGTTGAATTTCTGTTCACAGTTAGGCTGCAGTGTTTAGTGTCAGTTCTGTCTTTGCACTGAAAGACTAAACCGCTGTTTCCCCGCTTTTTCTCGTCCCCCTGCTCCCTAGTGTGGAGTGTTTCCTCCTGAAGAGCCTGAGACCCCAGCCTGCTGTTCGAGAAACCTCTTCAACACTCTTGACTTAGAACCTGCTATATTCAAGCTCACCTACTGTTATGTCTAAAATGATTATTTTCTGTTAGTTAATGTAAAGTTTGATTTCTAGGAAATGTGCCTTTGTTGTTTAATATGCACTCCAAACTGGAAGTGCAGCCAGCTCGGCCCCCGCTTTGCACGGTGCCTCCCCAGGTTTGCACGTGGGCTGGTGCGGGGGGCTTCTGGACTTCCAGGCTGTTAGAACCTGGACGCAACATTCTCTGATTAATCGCCATTGATTCCAGCTAAGGACGTTTGTTCCAAGGTAGCTATCCTCGTCATACGACGTTACCCTTATTTAAGCCTTTGGGTAATCAGATTCCAGCGTGTGCCTTCCAGAACGAACACTACTGCCTGCCCCAAATCTGACTAAAACCGACTGTGCCTTGTTTCGCTGTTTTTCTGATTCCCCGTAAGAGGACTCTCTCCTGGTCGTAAACACTACTGACGCTCCCGCTGTGTGTAAAATAAGATGCTGGGAAGAGGTTTTGCTCTTACATTAGCTATGAAGGTGTTTACTTTCTTGTTACTGTTATGTATCACTTTCTAAAAATACTGTTTTAATCAGAAATAATAATTTCTTTAAAACATTTTTATAGAACTGTGGCTATGACCAAAGTTTCTGTTTTGCCAAAAAGTTAAATCCGAGTCAAATGTCAAGTCTGTTCCTATCAGATAAATTCAAAAAAGTGACCAGTAGAACTCAAGGTGCCCTTCAGAATTAAAATTGTAACAGTGTGTGTGAACATCCCAACAGGCCTTTCTTGCCCTTGAAATGCTATAGGTCTTGTGACTCTCCTTCCAATTCCGTGTTTTTCCTGGGGGCTAGAGAACGTCTGAGCTACACTCTGACCGTCTCATCCTTTGCAGAGTTTCACCCAGCAGTTTGCAGATTATCAGCTGTAGATGCCAGGATGCTTCTAATAATTACGTGAACAACAATTTTGTAGCCTTCAAGTGAGACCATCTGTGAACTGGTCATTTTCTGGCCCAGGCCCCTGGACTATAGCTTTTTGGAATTTGTTTCCTATTTTTGTCCGTATTCCACATCCTAAATCTGTCTTCTCACTTACGCTTTCAATTAGGCATTGGTCGGGTGGTTGACTCTTTTCACAGAGGATGGCTAACCAGAGCCACCGTCTTTCTTTAATGTCACAGTCTGCATAAGACGCTGGGCATAGCTGTTGTCATCTGAGAGGCTTTGGTTGTGTACGTGAGACATTCAACACCAGGGTGTGTGAGTTAAGGGCAGGAATTCAGGTAGGAGTGAAACAGGCAAGGAGGCGCTGAGGGAGATAGAAGTTATACTAACGCTCTTGTTCACATGCTAGTTTATGGCTTACAAAGCAACAGCAGTTAGGTGCACCGCGACACGGTTCCCTGTCTGTAGTGTCTGTTCCCCGGACGTGAGTGAAGTGATGGAAAGTTGGAGACATGCCTCACAGTGTGCCCGGCCCAGACAGGAGCAGCGTCCGCGTCGGGACGCTGGCCCACCCCGGCTCGGGTCCCCAGCCGGGTCTGACTGTAACCTTGGTGCTCTCCCCTCGGCCTCGATGCTCCGTCCCATGTAACCCCCTGGTGCCTGCATTAACCCAGGAATACTCTGCTTGTATCTGTGCATTTAGTTGGGAACTTGCCCACTATAATGAACTGAATAAAGTGTTTGTAAACGTAACTCTGGTACCTGTGTCGCGTGTAGAGGAATGGCTGTACCTGGTCCTAGTCCTCAAGCAGCCTTCCTTGCTACTTCCCCCCCTTATAAACCCCCAAACTCCTCCCTCTCTTCTGCTTTCTCACTGGTCCCTCCCTGAGTACTCCGATGTCCTCGCACACCCTACTGAGCAGAAGCACGCCGCTCCCCGCGTGGAAAGTGCTTTTTCAGTAGAGGAGGTGAGTGGGGAACTGGCTTGCTTGTGATTACCAAAATGTTCCGGATGTGGCGTGTGAGTTTCTTAAATACATGGTCTTTCAAAAGAGTTGAGTGGAGCCGGCCCCTCCGTGGTAGAACAGATGGCTGCCCATGCGGGGCCTGGGGAAGCTGACTTGGGCGGGGGAGGGACACCTCCAGACACGTGGCTCTTGTTTCGAGTCTGCATCCCTTTCCCCTGGGATGTACCTCTCCTCTTACTCCACGACCCCGGGGGAGCAGTATGAAATGGGCGGAAGCAGACTTGCTTGTGTTTACAGTGAAATGCCAGTTAATAGAATCCTGGTGGGAGAAAGAGCTTGACCTTTTTCCATTGCCTCAAATAGACGGTCACTGCTTCTCATGTCCGACAGATGACCGTGCCCTGGACGAGCACTAACTAGAATTGTGCCTTTCGTTCAGGACCTTCATAGAATGAAATACATATGAATTTTTGGTGCCATTTTCAAGATTTTAGATGAAAATTACCATAAACAGGCTCCTCTTTCTTCCCTTAAATGTCAGGATTCCTCAGGGCTGCGTCCCCCCCTGACTTCTCTTTCCCCAGGCAGTCTGATCCATTCCCGTGATATCTCTATTCATGAATCCACTGATAACTCCTGGCCTGTTGGACAGAAGCCTCTCAAACTCCGCGTTCACCAAACAGAATGAAACAGTCTCCCTCTGCCCTCCCTCTCATAAACAGCGTCTGTTCAGAGAACGGCAGCCTCATCCCCCAGGGACCACGCTAGGCACTAGACAAGTGCACGGACTTGCTGGCGCTTGTCCTCACCGCAAGCATCGCTCGGGATATGCTGGAGGGACGCTGCATACCGAGCACCCCCCAGTCTCAGTGGCTTCAAGTCCGCCCTGGCTCTTGCGCTGTCAGTCAGCAGGGAGGCTCTATCGTCAGTCCCTCTGGGAGGAGCTTCCCGTAAACATCTGTCTCAGGTTATGGCTGCAGAAGGAAAGGAAGGTCAGGAGTTGTGCGCTGGCCTCCAAGCGTCCACCTCGACGTGGGGCCAGCAGCTCTGCTCACATCTCATCAGCCAGAGCAAGTTAGGTGACTGTGGCTAACCTCAGAGGTGGAAGGGGATCCTGTCCGTCACCCAAAGGAGAAATGAAATGTTAGTGAATACCTTCCTTTACATCAGCAACTTTAGTCAAAGAAGGGAGGCAGATTCCCCTTGTCTTGTAAGTTTTTCCTAGTAAGTTGAGTTTCTTATAACTTACTATTATTATTGTGTGATACTTTTTTATTTGCATCACTAACTTTTTAAAAGTATGGTAATTTTTTTATTGCTTTTGAATGAAGATTAATGATTTGCTTTCAAATTGACCAGACTGCTTAGTGCATTTAAAAGGAAGCATCCTTATATTTACAGCTAAGCTGCTTTTCATACTACGAGCAAACTCAATCTGTAAAACTAGAATTTACTAAATAAGCCAATTATAGCATACTTACTAGAAAATAATTTTTTTCTCATCCTTTAAATAGCAAGCTAAGTGCATGTAAAAATCTACTTGTCTTTATCCTGCCAAGACTGCAGACGGTCCCCTGCTGGCAGAAGCACCTGCCTCTGGCCAAGGCTCTGGGTCCCCAGCCTGACAAAGGGCTTCTCTCCGCACCTGCCTCTCATCTGCAGCTCCTCCCTCCTGCATCATTCACTTCTCCCTTCTTATTGGATCACCTAGTCCCTTAATAGTGATGCCCACATCCCTCCCTTCAGCTAACAAATACTTGTCTTTAGCCCTTCACAGAAAAATTCCTCCCTCCGGGTCCCTGCAGTCACTGCCTCACGTCCACTTTTTCTTCAGTCCATGACACTGAGACGTCGTTAAACAAAGTCACCAAGGACCAACCAAGGTCACCATCTTGGTGCAGACCAACAGGAAATCCTCCGCCACAGTTTCTCTCTGCTTGTCACCAGCATTTGATACAGTTGCCAGCGCTCTCCCTGAAATAACCTCATGATCTAGCTTCCTGAACCACACTCCTCTGGCTTCCCTTCAGCCTCATCTACTGCTCCTTACTCGTCGCTTGCTTCTCTGCCTGACCTCCGAATCTCCGTGTGCCCCAAATCTTGGCCTCTGGCCCTTTTTCTCCATCTGCACTCTCACTGACACCATTTCCCCCATCACTGCAAACTCCGTGGAGACTCTGACAACTCCCAGATGTAAGCTGTATCTCCACCCCTGGCTTCTCCCCTAAGTTCCCAGCCGGCAAATCCAGTTGCCTACTTGGATGTGTAATGCACTTCTTAAACATAACATTGCAGAAAACCACTCTCTATTCTCTCTTCACCAAAACCTGCCACCCCCAGACTTGCCTGTCTAAGTGCCCGTCCCCTCGTACGCAGCTCTGCTTAAACCAGTGCCCCCAGGAGTCCCCCTGGGTCACACTCTTCTTCTCACACCTTATTTTGAATTCATCCCCCACGCTCTGTGCCCCCAAATGTATTCCAAGTTCAGTCTCTTCTCTCACCATCTTTATTGGCATCACTCTGGACTAAGCTATCCTCAGCTCTCTTCTTGTAATTAGCAGCCTCCTGACTTACCTGTTTCCTGTGCAGCAATCTGACAGGTACAGATCACTTTCTTGCTGAAAACCCTCCTCTTTCAACTACCATTAGGAAAAAATCCAAATCGCTTTCCCCAATTACAAGGCCCACTGTGACCTGTGACCGGGTCCTTCCGAACTTCCTGACCTCATCTCACCTTCCTCCTCCCACCTTTCTGTTTCTCATCAATAAAGCTGCCCTGCTTCAGGGCCTCTGCAGGTGCTGCTCCCTCCATGGGTGCGCTTCCCCAGCCCCCCTCACCCGAGTTTCAACTTCACCTTTTCAGAGAGAACTTCCCTGGCCACCAAGAGGCCATGCGCCTCTTGCCTCCTTCACCCTCCACGTTAGGGTGTTTCACGTTCCACACGGTTCTTTCTCCTTTCTGAACTTTACGGAGACGTTCGTGTTTTACCCCTTAATCAAATGTAGACTCCCTGAGTGGCAGGGGGCTTTTGCCACTATTCTGTCACCAGGGACCACAATCGTCCCTGCCCAGATAGGCACTCAATAAATATCTGTTGAATGAATGCAGTCTAACAAAACAGAGCTTCAGAGGATAGTAAGATCTCATTTGGAAAAATAAGGTGCTGTATCCAATATGTAATATGAACAGTTGCCACACTTCAGCCCCCCTCCCCCTTTTATTTACAATTCTTTTTATTCATAAAACTAATGGCGAAGATATCTGATGTACCCGTCACTGGACAGGGGCGGAGTTCTGCATGGTACCTTCCATTTCGGATGAGTGAAAATACAATTTTTAGACAGCCTCCAGACTGGTGTTTTTTTTAAGGGCTTCTCTACACCTTCCTTTACCGAAATAGTGTCTTTTACAAACACTTGTCTTCCTCCAGTTACACATGACTCTTTAACTCTGGGAGGACCAGGGACATGTTTAAGTTCCCCGTCAGAATTCCGCTTCTGAAAGCCAGGTTTGATTTTTACAGCGCTGTTATACTGCCCGGGGCCTCCGAGCCCCTCACCTGAATCCGCGGGAGTGAGAGCAAGAAGGTCGTTAAGAAAGATGGAAATGACAGGAACCCGAGAACACGCAGAGAAAGCGCTCGGATCTCCAGCACCTTCCTCCTGCTGCCCAGCGGGACCCCGACCTGAGTCCCCCGCCCGCCGCTTGCCACGGCTCTGCCCAACTCGTGCGGGGCAGCGGAGGGTACCCGCGCGGCTCTCCCGGGAGCAGCTGCCTCTCACGTGGAGGCCGCGCCAGCCCCGCCCGCTCGGGCCCCGCCCACCCTGCCAAGATCCCGCCTCCTCATGACTGGCGGCTCCAGCGCCCTATCACTGCCCCGCTGGCTCCAGTGGCTCCCGGGGCCCATCCCCACGGCACCGTGACAGGCGCGGGCCCTTGACTCTGGCGGCTGGCGCCGGAGCCTCCTCAGGGCTCCTCCGCCCCTTGCTTACTCGCCAGCCTGCCGGGATTGGCCAGGCGCCGTCCTGCGGCCGACCCCCGCCAGCGTTACGTAACGTGCTCCGAAGCCTACGCCCCAGCGCACTCGCCTTCACTTACGTAGCCCTATCGCCCTGGCACGAGCCCCGCCCCCGAGCCAATGGGGCCCGCAGAGCCTACGGCGGCAACCAATCGCGCAGCCCGGGGGCGGGGCCTCGACACCCGGCGTGCTGGGGGCGCGGCGCCGGCGGCCGCCCGGCCCGCCGCGAGCGTCCAGATTGCAGGGGCGGGGACGGCTGGGCGAGCGGCCGCTCGCGGGTCCGCGGGTTGCGGCGGCAGGTGTGTACTCCGCTCCGGCGGGGAGGCCATGGAGCCCGCCGGCTGCGATCGCCCCGAGCCTGCCCTGCGCTGTGGGGCCGGGAACCCGGGGTTCCTGGAACCTTGCGCTGCAAGTTGCCCCTTGCCCGGTCCGGTTTCTGGGTGCGCGCCGAGCGGCGGGCGGGCGGGTTGGGGGTCCGAGCCTGGCTTTGCGACGACTGGGGCGGGGTGCCCCCCCCAGGGCTGGGTCTCCGGCGTAAAATCGTGCTTCTCTTGACACTAGTCACCTTTGTATCCGCCCTCCCCTCTATCTAGGGTGGACCCTCTGGGAGCGGAGAAATCTAAGACTGTATGGAAATACCGGGGAGAAAAGTGCCTCCGGATGAGCAGGGATCAGGAATTGCTGGCTCGTGAGGACTGATAGTTTTCTCTAATGCGATGGCATGGACCAAAATGAGAAATAAATTTCCATCACTGATTGCAAAGTA